TAGACTCACCCCCTACTCCCTGCACCTTGTGTGCAGATTCAGGTGCACCGGAGGCATAGACTGATGTTGCTGCTGCGGATATCGAATTTCACTAGTTCTGAGGTAGCTGCTGTCGTCTGCAGGACCCATATACTCTGTCCTATTTAGTTCATACTCTTTTGGCTTATCAAACACTGTATTTATATTTCTATCAGTGTACTAGTATCATGTTTAGAGGCTCTATGCTTGTGACCCCTTGGTTTTGGGAACTTTTGTGAAATTCTCTATACTTTTATGCTATTTTGGCCCTGCTTGGGCAGTTGACTATTAAATTTCATTGTTAAACCTTTAAAAGGTTTCTTATTGGGCTTGAATGCCACTGTTTGGGTTGATATGGTCGGGCTTGCCTAGCCTTGCGGCAGGGCGCCATCGCGACCGGGATTTGGGTCGTGACAAGAACGATCTTGGGAATAAGGTGGCCCAGTTGACAAGACCCGAGACGATGTCATTTTAGGCTCTGACGCATCCGTACACTGAGGCCACCAACCGCTGTAATTTTCTTTTAGTATTTCGAGGGAGGGCTCCTAATATATAAAGAAGACCTCCCACTTTTGTAAAGACTCGTGTATATTTTGATACTAAGAATAAACAACTCTGATTCTCTCTCTATCTTGCTCAGATTATCATCTACATTATTGTTAACCTTGTTATCTTTACATATTTAAGATACTCTACTCAAAGCTATCACCGATCTTAGTTCTACATTAATTTCTAAACCCTATTACACTTGATTCCGATTTACCCCCATTTTATAAAATTGATTGTTCTTGAGCCTAATAAGCATCCATATAGCTTTTAGCCAAATAATTTGGCACCGTTTGTGGGGATTTCGTAAATCAAAGCTGTAGTTTGTTCCTAGAGATCGACAAAAAATCATTCTGTACAACATAAAATGGCTGAAAACAACGCAAGAATGAAAGCCATTGTAGGTGCTAGGGCTAATCTCATGGACTCCCTCAACACAGCTGCTGAAGGAGATGCTTTACATGCAACCCCTAGCACCATGATAAACGTGGAAAACACGCCGCCTCCCCCTTCCGAGGATCTGATAGTTCCACAAGAAAAAGAAGCTTCCACATCCACAACTAAAGAAACACCCTATGAGGTAAAAAGGTTACTAGAGGAATGGTTGACAAACGCTCTCAGTGGCCTAGCCGAGAAGCCATCTCAAAACACTAGACGTGCACCAGCAATCAACCATGCTGCAGTCGAAGATGAACACGAGATCACTCAAACAAACAACGTGCTTTTCGGTGCTCAAACTCACGACGACACGCTCACGGCCATCCTCAGAAAGATGGAGGAAATGAAAAATCTAAACAAATCACTTCGCGACCAGATGAGAGAGCATCAAGAAAGGGTAGACAAGATCCCAGGTGCACCTAAGTTGTTGCCGAAACGAGACATGGGGAAGTTCGTGGAACAACCCTACACCGAAGGAGCTGCACCGTATCCCATCCCAAAGACCTTCAAAATGCCTCCATACTTAAGGGTGTACGATGGAACCTCGGACCACGAGGACCATCTGGTTCACTATGTCACAGCAGTCAAAGGTAACGATCTATCGAAGGAGCAGGTACCGTCCGTGCTTCTAAAGAAATTCGGCGAAACCCTAACAGGGGGAGCCCTGATATGGTATTCCCAGTTACTGGCCAGAGGCATCTCCACATTCAAGGAAATGGCGGATAAGTTCGTCACTGCTCACGCTGGGGCTAAGAAAGCAGAAGCTCAGGCCAACGATATCTTTGCTATTCGAAAAACCTCAGGGGAGGGGCTCATGGAGTTCTTAGCTAGGTTCAACAGAGTTATAATGAACTTACCTAATGTATCAGAGGGGATGGCGGTCGCAGCTTTTCAGAACGGGCTCAGCAGAGACGACTCAAAGGCGACCAAGAAGTTGCTCAGCCACCTCATGAAGTATCCCCCCACCACTTGGGAAGAAATCCATAATGCCTACTGCGCCAAAGTACGTGGGACGAAGACAACCTTAATGGCCTGACTAGGCGGTTGATAATAGTGCACTCGTAAATAAGGAGAGACCGACGCAATGAGGGACGACGGGAACAAATCCCACGCCTCAACAGAGAGAGGCACCAACCATACAACAGATCTTCACACCCACCACCGCCAAGACACGCGGACACCGTACAATAACACGTCGCTCCACTGGGGAACGACAAAGGTATGTCCCCCTTACTATCTGCACATAACATTCGTGTATCTCCTTCAGAAATTGTGTACGCACTAGAGAAGCTCGGTAACAAAGTACAATGACCGACGAAGATAAAATCTGACCCCACCACCAGAAAGTCGAACGTCCTGTGCGAATTCCACCAGGAACGCGGGCACAGAACCAAAGACTGCATAGGCCTTCGTCAAGAAGTGGTCCGGATGCTAAACCAGGGATTCTTGAAAGAACTACTCAGTGACAAAGGGAAACTCAGTTTTCCACGAGGACGTGAACATCCTCAGGGCCTGCCGAGGCCACCCTCACCAACACGCACCATCAACATGATCATTGGGGACGGCAATGATTCAGCGATCAACCATGTCAAATTCACCACCACTTACAAGTTAAAGCAAACTATCGCCCACGAACGGTATGATGACTTCGAAGATAGTATCACCTTCAATAAGTCTGATACAGACGGTTTGTCTTTTCCCCATTATGATGCTTTAGTTATTACTTTACGCATAGCTGATACTGATGTTAAGAGAATTATGGTCGATGACGGCAGCGGTGCGTGCATCGTTTATCCGAGAGTCCTTGCCTTAATGGGACTCGAGGATAAGATAATACCATGCTGTATAACACTAACAGGCTTTAATAATGCAGTGGAAAGGACCTCCGGGGAGATAAAGCTGCCCGTCTTGGCAGGAGGAGTCATAATGGAAACCACATTCCATGTAATGAACCTGGAAACTGCGTACAATGCTATCATCGGGAGGTTGTGGATACATGCCATGAGAGCAGTCCCTTCCAGTTTCTACCAAGTAATCAAATTCCCTACGCCGTGGGGAGTGTTCAGCATCAGGGGCGAACCACGCACCGCCCAAGAATATTACAAAATAGCCCAAGATCACATGCGCACCAGACAACTCAAAGGAGCAAGTGCGGAAGCACAACAATCAGCCCTTTCGGGGACTAAGGTCCACTCGACAGAGGATGACATCAAAGAGCCCGACATCGTTGAAGCCAATAAGGCTACGGTCGAGGACCTCGATCTCGTCAGCTGAGCGTCAGCGACTCTACAAAGAAAGCTTACATAGGCCACAGCCTGTCGAATCCAAGTAAGTACCGTGACTTTTTATCTAACCACACCGATCTGTTAGCTTTTTCTCATGCAAATATGTCAGGGATTCCATGAGAAATCGCCACCCATAAGCTGAACGTCGATCCGCTACATCCACCTGTACGACAGACAAGGAGAAAATTCAATGCCGCCATCAACGAAGCAGTAAGCGAAGAAGTGGACAAATTATTGGCAAATGGTTCCATCAGAGAATCCAAGTATCCAGAATGGGTAGCCAACGTCGTCATGGTCAAAAAGAAAAATGGGAAGTGGCGAATGTGCGTGGATTTCACCGACTTAAACAAAGCATGCCCGAAGGATTCATTCCGACTACCTCACATCGACCAACTAATAGACGCTACGGCCGGGCATGAGCTATTATGTTTCCTGGACGCATATTCCGGCTACAACCAAATCATGATGGACGAGGAAGACCAGGAAAAAACGACCTTCATCACTCACCAAGGTACGTATTGCTACAAAGTAATGCCCTTCGGGCTCAAGAATGCAGGGGCCAAATATCAAAGGCTGGTAACTACGATGTTCAAGGAACACCTGGGCAAAACAATGGAGGTCTATATCGACGACATGCTGGTGAAATCATCAAAGAAAAAGGATCACCTCGACCACTTAAGAGAAGCTTTCGAAATATTAAGAAGGTACGGTATGAAATTAAATCCCGAGAAGTGCGCCTTCGGCGTCGCCTCAGGAAAATTCCTAGGGTTTCTAGTATCACAAAGGGGCATCGAAGTCAATCCAGACCAGATCAAGGCCGTAGAAGCCATCCCACAAAAATTGAGCCGCAAAAATCATGTGCAAAAGCTCACAGGACGAATAGCCGCCCTCTCCAGGTTCATTTCACGCTCCTCTAACAGATGCCACAAGTTCTTTGGTGTGTTGAAAAAAGACCAGGGACTACAATGGAACGAGGACTGCGTCAAAGCATTAAGAAACTTGAAGGCGTACCTGTCATCGCCCCCTACTAGTCAAAGCCAGCCCAGGCGAACCACTTTTGGTGTACTTGGCCGTATCCGAGGTAGCGGTTAGTTCTGTCCTAGTACGAGAAAATAAAGGTACGCAATCCCCTGTTTACTACATTAGCAAAACTCTCGTGGACGCCAAAACTCGGTACCCACATCTTTAGAGATTGGCACTAGCGCTCGTAGTAGCCTCACGAAAACTACGACCTTACTTTCAATGCCATCTTATAAGGGTAGTGACGACCTTCCCACTGAGAAGCGTCTTACACAAACCCGAACTCTCAAGACGGCTCGCCAAGTGGGCCATTGAGCTCAGCGAGCATGATGTCACTTACATTCCAAGAACCACCATCAAGTCGCAAGTCCTAGCCGACTTTATTGCTGACTTTAGTGCGGAAGTCCTACCAGAAGCAGAACTCGAAGAACAACG